GCAGTTATTTCTGTAACCTGCATTACATGTTACTGCTATATATTATTCCAGGAAGGCCTTTGTTTGGAGCAAAAACTGAACTTTTTGTCTTGGAGATGTAACGGCTGCTACAATGCAATGATATAGTGGTAGTCGAGTGTGACGCTTGTATGTAATTGAATGGAGGTTGAAAGTTTGCAAAACGGTTTCAACTGTGTCGTTATCTTCAATAGCATAACATAACATAACATAACATAACATAACGCCATATGCCGGTGTAACCAGACTGCACGTGGTAAATTTATATGCAAAGGTGACAAGACTGCCATGTTACAAATCCTTCTTGGCCTGGCAACGGCTTTTGATACGGTAAACCATCAATTATTTCTAGCTTTCCTAGAGGAGAACATGGCACCTTGTAGTCAATCATTCGCAATTAAAGTATTTTTGTATCGGTTTAGCACCGGTTTGGTAACCTCCTACCCTTATTATGAAATGTAGCGACAATGATAGGGAACATTAGATACTAAAAAGAAGGTAAAAATTCACCGGTGACATACTTTTTAAGCGCCCCTGAAATATTCGCCATATATGCCAAACCCTAAATACATTTAGGTCTACACCACTGACAGCCATGTGATACTTTCTTTTTCATAAAAAATACATAGACTCTTTTATTCGTTAAATAAACCTCCGGCTAGAATAGATGAAAAAGGGGTATGCTTCAGACGGCCAATTTCTAGAAGTTTAAATTATTCTTTAGCATTATTACAATTTCATGTTGTATTTAAAGCGTTTTACGTAGCCATGCAGCTCGGCATGAAAATGTATCAAAGGCCTGGGTAAATTTTTAAATACCTTTATTTTCAGCCAAATTGTTCAATAGCTTGGTAGTTGGACCATAAATGATATTTATTTTGAACAAGCTGTAACTATATGTATATAGGTCCTGGCTGCTATATCAGCAAAAACCAACGTCAGTCTGACGAAGGCCTACGGCTAGGACGGCTGCAAGCTAACGGAATGAAGATATTTTAACATCTATGATCTTCATCTTCAGTTTCAGCACATTCCCATCTCTGTCCTCTCCAAAGCACCATCTTAAATGAAATAAAATGTTAATCTAAGAACTAAGTTTCACAAGCAGTTGCGCAACAGAATAAATAATTCAAAATCTGAATAGCACTAGCTGACCATTAGACATATACTGTACTTTAGCACCTTTGTATGTCAATCTCGAATAAAGCAAAGATACAAGCTATGTGTCACTTATACAATGACAGTCTTTGCACACCTAATACAAATACTTATGCCATTTTACCATCTTATGGTGCCTAATGGCAATTTCACGTTCATTGTACCTCTTTCAAAAAGCAATTGGGCACTTTTTGGACATACAAATATGTGTACCACTAGTGAATAAACTGCTGTTATTCCTTCACAATTGTTAAATTTTTCTACAAATGGCGTTTCATTTCTAATATGCACACAATGACATCATCTTCCATACCCTGACCGACTGAACTAAGCGTCTTCTCTTTGATGGCCAAAATGTCACTTATCTTCCTATTCGTTTTTCTGAATAAAAGAAACTTTGGCCAAACTGGAAATCTGAGGCTCAGGATAGGAAACAATGGAAAAAGCATGCTGAGGCCTTTGTCCAACAGTGGAACACTATAGGCTCTAAATGATGATGATGATGATGAATAAAATGGCAATGCTTCACTATCTTACCATCAGTATAACTTACAGCAATTATCGTAATACTAGTATAAGCAAAAAATAAACTCCATTTTTGTTTTAATTGCACTGGTGCAATGCAATATAGCCAGCTTTAGAATCCGACAGGGTCGTCTTGTTTTAGAACTTCTTATCTCCTACATCTTTTAAAGATATATAGAACAATTTTCTTTCCACAGCTGTGTTAGATACTCCCTCTCAAGTCAAAAAATGCAGGCTCAAAAAGCACATTTGGCAACTGCATTGTATTATTACATTACGTTTTTGCAACTTCAGGTTGTTCATTCCCCATTTCTTTTTTGCCTCTTCTTTCATGGATGTAATTTTAAGGGGACACCACTACCACTTCAAAAAATCACAAGTTGAAAACGATGGACCACATTCCTGAGATTCATGTTGATTTATTTCCTCTTACTGACAGTCACCCAGACTTCGTCTTCAGGGTGGGTCACCAATCCGTAAATAGGTGTCGCCACTATACCTTCCACCATGTGCACCTACAAGACAGGATGTGGCAGATTTTATTATACAAAGCAAGAGATTTGTGCTACAGTAGTCCAAATTAGAAACTAGACATGGCAAGCCACCCACAGCAAAAGAAGATGGAAAAAATCCTAAGGATGACCTCATCAGTAAAATATTCAAAGAAATTAAAAAACAATACAAGTGCCTCCTTTATCTCCACTTTGGCAAGGTCGTGTACATAGTAAATATGGTGTGTCAATTAAAACCTGTCAGTCAGAAGTTTGGAAGAAAAGAGTTCACCTCAGTAAATCTATTACATCAAAATCTTAAAGGACTTACTGTGAATTTTTGTAGCAGCACTGCCACGACAGAGCAGATTTCTATGTATGTATATTTGAATCCTGGGCATCTTCTGCGGCCAGCAAATCCAAACGGTTCAAAACAAAACAATGGGAGATCAGCCTTAGCATCTGCTGAGAAACGATCTGGATCAAATCTGAAACAGAGATCGTAAGTTACTTTGTATTTCTGAGATAATGAATTTCACAGAAAGGCTAGAAACAATTCCAATATTCCCCTTTATGATCCGTCTGTGAGACTTAAGTTTTAGCCAACATTTCACTATACATGTTCAAGTAAAGATTTCAAAAAGCTTTACATTTATCAACATTGTTGGTCTCTAATTTGGAGAAATACGTGCACATCAGAATGCTCACTTAAATCATAGCCATGTTTCCATTCAGCTCACCCTGAGCTTCAGAGCTAACTTGACACTAACCTATTCACTGTAGTCTATCTCCATCGTGTCAAGTAACCTCTGACCAGATTCGATTGCCCCCGCCGCCCGTCAATCAAATTTAAAGCCCACACTCAATGACTCATTGAACGATCTAGCCAATGAACGCGAACGAGTCAAAGCGCGCTTTGTTCAAATCCGGACCAATCAAAGATAAGGCTGAATATCAGGGACTTGCCGTAACCTGTGGGCAGCACGCAAAATACATCATCCCTCAGTAGATAATGATGCAGGGCATCATACTGCTCTGGTTTCAATTCCGATATACTCCATGCTTTCTTTGTGTACGGTTATGCACTCGGAAC